CATAAAGGTTTTAATTTTCCTAGTCTACCTGTTTTTTCTGACAACCTAAAAGAGAATGTGAAAGATGTTGACATTCTTAAATAAAGCCATTTCAGTTTCAGCAGTAGCTAAGGGCATGCACAAATCCTAGATTCTCATTTAAGTAGAATAAATCGGGGCATACTTAATGCCAGTAAGTTTCTTAGGCCATTTGATGTTTCCAGGTCATTGTATGTGGGGGCTGCATTTACAATTCTATAGCCAATTAATCTTGATAATATTTTTAGTATTATTTAACAACTGGGAACATTCTCTCTGAAGTTTTGTGGCCATTATAATCACCATTATTAGTAGTAGAATTGTTTTTCTCTAATGAGGCAAAAGGCACTATGTCCTGGGGTAGTGGGTTCAAGAGACAGAATGCGAAAAGCATAGTGTGATTTTCCCTTCTTTATTATTAGTCTGTTCACTCCAGCCCCAAGTCTTCACCTCACCTTCTACTACTACTTAGAAATTTTGCTCCTTTGGTGCCAAATGAGAAAGTTGAAGGCCCATTCTTGCCATCCAAAGTTATTCATGTATTCATGTAGCCACAATAGAAAATGGACTAGAGGAGGAGTATAGAATAAAGTTCTAGAGCACGTGATTTGGAATGACACAAATCAGAATTTGAATCTTAGTTCTACTGTTTATTAGATTTAGGCAAGTCACTTAAACTCTCTGAACTATTTTCTGTCTGTAACATGGAGGTTATCATATGTACATAATTGTTTTATTAAGGGTTAAATAAGTATACGAATTTAATTTCTCAGTCCAGTGCCTGACATCTTGCCAAGCATTGCTATCATCATTATTGATATTATGTTAATAATATACTGCAATTATAATTTATAATGAGAAAAGGTTAGGACTCTGTTTTTCCCTCCAACAGCCAGTTCAGCATTACCAGTGTCTTGTTCAAGACTTCTAAAGGAATGTGCCAAGCTCAGGATTTATTGCCATTTTGATTATTTAGTATTCACTGAGCACTGAGAGAATGCAGCATTTATGGGAACACAGAAGGAGGTAGGGGCAGCCTCTCCCACTCTGAGTGGAGAAGGAAACCTGGAGCTGGCTGGATGTGTGGCTGAGAACAGTACAGCCAAAAAAGACCATCTGGACCAGTGCAACCAGGGTTCCCAGGAAATCTGTGGGGCCTCTGACTAAACTAAGTTATTTGGCTTCTAATCAACTTAACATTAACATTCTCCAAGCCCTCCCGTCTAAGATGCTAATTTATCCTAAAGAGGCATGTGAAGTATAGGCACCCACATCAATCAAGCTGCTCTTTTCTTCTGCCTCATCTCACTTCTGTCAGCTAGGTTGATCCCCTGGAAAACAGAGACCTTAAAATAAAGTAAAACCTTCCCCTTAAAATAAAGTAAAACCCTAATTTGAATGAACACTACTGCCAAACCCTCGCTTTAAGAGCCCTGAACACAGTTGGGGACTTAAGGCCTTGCCAGTCCAATAATAATTCTACTGAAAAAATGCCAAATTCTCTTTCTTTTTAGAAAAAGGGCCAAGAATTACTTCTAGAATTGCCCAGTCCATGACCTCCTAAACCTTCCAAAAATTGCTTTAAGGCCAAGGGTGTTCTGAATTCTGGACATAACATTAGTACAGAAGCTGTCCCCTCCAACAGGTTGACTAGTGACAGGGTTCAGTTCTAAGTCACAAAATGCATCCTGTAATTGCTTTCTTTACTTTATTACCTGCTTCAGCCCAGACAAATGGTATTCAGGGAAGCCTAAGGGTATCCACTTTCCCACAGAGAATTAAGCAAGACCTTCTTTTTAAAACCCTATCTTATAAATTTGACCCATTTCACCTAAAATGCTGAGGGAAATTTCAGATCAGACCCTCTGCCTCATTTTTCATGGTATTATCTTTACTTCCCCAGATAGAGTGACAGGCACATGGAAGGTGCTTGGTCCAATGTCTGCTAAATTCAGTACAACCAAAAGAACCATTCCTCAGCTTCCATGGGTTTTTATTTGCAACTTTAGCTCCACTGGTATTTATTTCCAAACTTCATGGTCAGGTAGTATTACAGGAAGGTCTCAAAAGCAATTTTGCATAACCAGACAAGCAAATAGTCAATGTAGATCTGAATGTGTGTATTCTATGTTGTAAGTTGGAGAGGGGAGGAGGAATATTTGTAGTCCCATGAAAATAGGTAAATCTATTGTAAAATGTCTACAATATGTTGCCACAGGAATCATTTCAGTTAATAATGATATTAACTGCTGATTATATGATGGTTGATGGTTCACAAAGGACTTTTGCCTATGGTATCTCATTTGATCTCCATAACAACTGAAGGAAGTAAGAAGGATCAGGATTCTTATTCCTGTTTTATCCATGGGGAAGCAGAGCTCCTAGAGTCAGCTGTGAGCAATTTACAGTGACAGAACTGGCCATGTTGACACTTCTCCTGCTACACTCCCTATCACATATTCTCAGCTGCTCCTGATGCTTCTCTTCTTAAGGGCTCAATCCAGGATCACTGAATCCACTCCTATACTTTAAAAGTTGACATACTGCATAATCATTTATTGAATAAATTATCCAGTGATTACTTAGATAGTAGGCACCATAATAGGTTGTGGAGGAAAAGAAAACATTAAATAAGATAAAGATCACTGTTTTTGCAGAACTCAAAGTCTACTTGGAGAAGTCAAAATTGTAAATATTTTTGTGTAATGTGGTAAGTCCCTACAAAGTGTTCAATAAGCAAAGAAGACAGAAGAATAAACTTTTCTGAGAGTGGAAGTCAGTGAAACTTCAGAAAGGGTTGATCTTTGGCAGGGCTTTAAACGATAAATAAGAGTTTCAAGGCAGAGAAGAGAAAGGAAGAGAAGGGAGGGTATTTGAGTAAGGGGAAATGAGCACAGGCATGGAGTCATGAACAAATATGGCCTACTTGTGAAAAGATGAGCAGCTCAGTGTGTTACATTATAGGATATTTGGGAGAACTGGTAAGAGGTGAGACTACAGAATAAAATCAGGCCAGATGGCTCCATACTGAGACATCTAGTTCCTAAACCTGTGCGTTATATATATTTTCAGAATTTCTTTTTTTTTTTTTAATTTATTTATTATTATTAAACTTCAAGTTGTAGGGTACATGTGCACAACGTGCAGGTTTGCTACATATGTATACTTGTGCCATGTTGGTGTGCTGCACCCATCAACTCGTCATTTACATCAGGTATAACTCCCAATGCAATCCCTCCCCCCTCCCCCCTCCCCATGATAGGCCCCAGTGTGTGATGTTCCCCTTCCCGAGTCCAAGTGATCTCATTGTTCAGTTCCTGCCTACGAGTGAGAACATGCGGTGTTTGGTTTTCTGTTCTTGTGATAGTTTGCTAAGAATGATGGTTTCCAGCTGCATCCATGTCCCTACAAAGGACACAAACTCATCCTTTTTTATGGCTGCATAGTATTCCATGGTGTATATGTGCCACATTTTCTTAATCCAATCTGTCACTGATGGACATTTGGGTTGATTCCAAGTCTCCATTTTTTAAAAAACAAGTTTTGTAAATAAGCATTTCACCTAAGTACTTGGTCAGTACCAAGCACCAAGTACATCAATATTTGAAATGCCTTCTGTGGAAGAAGGCCAAGTTTGTTCCAAGACAGGCGTAGATAGGATATGGGCCTGGAGATCAATAGTGGAGATTGTCTGGGTGCTGTGACTATTTCTGGGTGGCCACATGAAGAAAAGGGACAGCTTGTGCAGACCCACAAAAAAAAAACAAAAAAAAAAAAAAAAAAAAAAAAAAGATGGTTCTAATTTATTATAATCTTATAATCTTATTTATATGTTGGTGATGGCAGATAGCAGACTCCGAGGAAGAGATGTGTCTCAAGAGCATAGAGATGGAATGGACTAATTCTCCAGTCTCCCACCTCTCCACCTGATGATTCTCCTATACTGACTGTGGGTTATATTTCCCTGTTTAGTGCTTTGCAGTGAGTGTATGTGGATAATAAGTATTAAATGCCAAACAAATAAATAAATATGTGAGGCACTTCTTTACAAGGGATTTTGGGGTACTTGGTACCTCTTTGACAAATTTGGTAGAAAATGTATTTTGCCAAAATAATATAAACCTAACTAAAGAATTGCAGCCTGCCACACTTTGGCTGTGGTTCTTCTTCCTTTCAGTCAAGAGCTTTGTACTTACCATAAAATTCTAGCTCCTTCTCATGGCCTATAGGGCTTTTGCCCAGTCCAGCCCAGATCACCCTCTTCCCCCAGCCTTGCTCGCTACACTCAGTACATCTGCTTCCTTTCTTTTTCTCAAGGCTACCAGGTTCTTCCTACCTGTGGCCTCTGTCCAAGTTATCCTTGCTTTTCCTCCTCCACTTTGCATGGCTGGCTCAGCCCAAATGTCACCTCTTCATAAAGGTCATGCAGATATAGCTGCATCGCTCTAGCCCTCTCCCAATTATTACCATATCCATTGGTTTTATCTCTATCTTACCACTTATCACCATCTGAAAATGCCTTATTTTGGTCTTTGTTTGTTTTTTGTCCATATCTCCCACTATAATGTGTCATTATTACCAGGATCCCCATATTCACCACAAAGCCTGGCACAGAATAGTCACCCATTAAATAAAAAAGTGAAAGAAAAAGCAAAGGTAGTTTTGGGGAGAGTCAAATTCTGCCTCTATTGGCATCAATATTTCAAACACCCCAATTTCTACTTGACTTTTCCAGTTACGGAAAGAAACAGCCATATATTATCTCACTTTCATCATATTATTTTAATATCCTTCATCTAAGTAACTTGTGAATCAATTTTATATCTTTACCCCCAACTCCTGACCCTTCACTCCACCCCATTTTCCTCCCCATGTCCCCATTCTCCCAATCTAGTCTATTTCTGTGAGTGATAGGGAAGGAATGTACACTTAGCTCACTATCTAGTATAACGCCCTTCCATACCAAGTACCGCACTAAGTACTTCTTTTTTTTTTTTCTTTATAAACCCCTTAACATATTTACTCTTGTACACAGACTATTCAAGAAAAACAAAATGGTAAATTTAAGAGTTCAGACATCTTAGACAAGACTTGACTTCTGGGCTTCAGCAAGATGTGGAAACTTTTTAAGAAGAATTTTTGCTTTCTTTCTCTCTCAATTTTCCTTCCGTGCTTTGATGCAAGCTCATTTCTCACGTTCCAGTCTGAGAAAATGGTCCACATAAGGCATGGCAAAGAATCGTTTCCTATTTTATCTTTTATTTAGGTGCCAAGGTATAACCCACTGCTTGAACTTGTGCCAGATGATTCTTCCAAAGACGTCTCTTCTCCAAGCACCAGGTCTAGCTCTTTCTTGACCAGTCTGAAGAAGCCTTAGGGCATCTTCTCTTTCCTGGACAACTTTATCTAATGCATCCATGGAATCTGCTACCTTATCTAACCGCTCTGGACTTGGCACTGGCAATCTCTGCCGCTTGGCCTCCTGCTCTAGGGTTAAAAGCATGTTTCTTTCTTTCAGTAAGACAAACCAAAGTTTGTGTAAATCTTCATTACTTTTGTTCCTTAGTTGCTGACAGGTCCATGCTTCTCCAGATTTTACTTTTTCTTGCCCCCAGTTTTTTGGGTCATCAAAAAATTCTTCTAGTCCTTTTCTTGACAATGTGGTATGAAGTAATCTATATTGGTGAAAGGATGTCACATTTGGTGTACTCTTAGGCAACAAACCAAGAAAAAACCCTGTGCAGGCAGGGACCTGAGGAGTTATTAACGACCTGGAAGCTTTCAGGGCAGCTGAGACTCTCCTACAAAGAAAGGCCAAACCTGCCACAGCCATGTTTTCACATAACCCGCACTAAGTACTTCTTAAGTATGATCTCTGAATCTGATTTATTATAAACACTTTCTGAATATTGCCAGACCCTACACATTTGCATTATAACTGTTCCACTTACCTATTTCCTTTAAAAACAAAAACAAAAACAAAAACTCCTTTTTGCCTTCTATCTTTTCACCTATTTATTTCTAGCAATTCCTTAAAATAGTTGTATATCCAATAGAATGAATCTAATTTTAAAGGTCCTTTGATGTATGCCATAACAATTTTTATGGCATATTTTGATCACTTGGTTCTTCAAATAGTCCATCAATCTTTCTTTTTAAGTAAAGAACGCATGCCTTCTATGACACCATCAGTGAGGTTTTAAAAGCAGGGATTTAGTTCAGAGAAAAAGAAATGTTAATGCTCTCAGTTCACATTATACACCAGCCATTGTGCTGAGAGCAGCACATTAGTTATCTAATGATTACAACAACCTTGTGATATAGGTGTCGTTTTTCCCATTTTATTATGAGGTAACTGAATCCTGCTTCACAACGTGGCCAAAACCATGCAGCTAGAAAGAAGATGTACTGGATTAGAAGCAGAGGCTGAGTGAATATAACGTTAGAGGTTAGACACAGATGTCTGGTGTTTACAATGAAACATCTGAAAGAATTAAAATGCTTCATTATCTTATTGATAACTATAGAGGTCTGCTAGATGAAGGTGTGTTCCTGCAGATAACTTAATACTACTACTCTGTGCTGGGCCCAGTGCTAGGTGTTATTATTCAGAGATAAATAGAAACTAATACTTTAAGGAGGGGAACATAGAAAAACAACACACACAAGACACGAAGTGACAAAAGCAAGAACACAAAAAGGTGATTGCTTGAAAGGCAGCACTGAAGATGGAATGATTGGCATTGGGTAGAATATTAGGAAAAGCTTTCTGGACTAGGGGCCGTCTGAATGGATTCTCAAAAAATGATAACTAGAATTTATTGAGAACTTACTATGAGCAGTGAATTGCATTAAGTGTTTTACATACAGCTTCTCATTTAATCCTCACATCTATTCTAAAATGGGTAGTTTTCATTCCTTCACTGAGTAAAAAACTGAGACAGACAGGTTGACTAGGTGGCTAGTGCTCAGACAGCCACTGTATCAAACATAGTCCGACAAGATCACAACAATTATTTTATATTATTTTATATGTAAAATTTAGCCAGATATTGAAGAAATTGAAAGCAAAAAGAGAATAAAAAGTAACAGAAGTAGAACTGCATAAAGCAGTTAACCCTACTAAGGCTTAGGGAATTAATAGAACCCAGAAACTTGGAGGAGTAAACCCCAAGCTAAAACACTGTCCTCTGAGGAGGAGACACTGATTAATTAATGCTGATATCTTAGCCAGGGAGAGCCACAATGGAGCTGGGATCTAGACCTCCAGGGAAAGAGTATAGTAACCTGGTGCTTTTCTCTGAGGGGATGTGATGAGGCTGGTTCTTTGAGTTTGGGGTAAACTACAAACTGGAAATACTGCAGGAAAAGAGAATGAAGTACTGCTGCCATGGTGAAGAAGTATTACGAGGTTGACACTGTTTGAGAGAGGATCAAGCAGGAAACAAAACAAGAGGAAAGTCCCCTTTTCCTCCCTCTAAGCTTCTGATACCCCTCTAGGGCCTCCTAACAAGGAGCAGCCAGCAAAGGAGAAATGTAGTTAACACAGTCCCTGCCCCCAGCATCATGAAGCCAAGAATACCTGAGAGTGTTGGGGGCTGAGAGACAATCGCTTAAAAACTGGCACAACCAGGCAATCTTACTTTCATTATGGCCTTTTCACTCTCTACTCTCCTAGATGACAATTTCACTCTTGCTCCTCTTGTTTTACATCACTAATACCTCCTCTTTCATTGTCACACTCAGTTAATAACCTTGCTTCCTACTTCACTTAGAAGAATGAAGCAATCAGAAGAAAATGCCAGATTGTCTCCATCGTACCTAGCCATCTACCAGCAGAATTCTGTTATTGTAAAAGCTCTGTGTTGTACATAAATACCCCCATCTAGAACCAGGTACACGACCTGTGCACTAGATTCCATCATTTCTTGCTTCCTCATGTACACCACTCCAGCAATTCTCTCCTCTCTGAGAGTTGGTGGCAGTTAATATCCATTGGAAACCCATGTGTTTCTCTATATTTCCCAGCTTCCCTTCAGTTAGGTTAGGGCTATGTGATTAATTTTGGCCAATGGCCTCCAAGCAGAAGTGAAAAGCATCCATTTTAAAAGTCACTGTAACATGTGGTTTCCCTTCTTCTCTCTCTTCCCTTGCTATCTCAGAGGCTAAATAATGTTCCAGATGGTGCAATTACAAGATGGAAGGGCCTTCATTATTATGAACACCTGTGTAATTGTGTGGCCCTCACAAGATAATGACTTTTGTAACTGCAGCCCAGACTTCTCTCCTGGATGAAAATACTATTTTTGTAACTCTAACCCACATTCATATAAACAACTGCCTATTTGATATCTTTATGTGCTTGTTTAATAACTCAATTTGCCTAATACCAAATTCCTAATCCTGCCCTATCTTATAGGCATCCTCCCCTCTAATCTTTCTTGGCTCTACTTCTGAGATCTATTCCAGCACTAACAGTCCAAGCCTAACACCAACATTCACATCATTGCCCAATATTTACCACTGGACAATGCAGAAACTGTCACCTCAGTAATGAGAGAAGGAAAGTAAAGTGAAATACCAAGTTCTGGAATAAACAGGAAAATTTCATCAGGAAATATAAATTACTCCATGATTTGATTACCCTGAAAAGTATCTTTATGAAATATATTTTTCAAGGGAGAAGCAATGCAGGTGTGTTGATTTCCTAAAGTTGATGCCTACCATATCAGTATTGAGTTTTTTCAGGACTGTTAGGGTTTAGCAATTCAGTAATATTTTAATCCCAAATATTAATAAAACTCTTCTGGACAAATACAAACTTACCTAAAGCAATATTCTACTTCCTGCTGTTGTTTTGACTTGCAGTTGATTGATGAATACATTAATTGAATTAACGAATTAAAAGTCTCAGGGTATAGGATTTGAGGGTTTTTTTTTTTTTTCCAAAATCTATATATTGTAATATCTCTACTATTGTGCAAATGTTTATTCTCGGGCAAAAAGAATTCTTTTGTTGAAGGATAAGTGATAAATTCTACAGTGTTTAAGAGCTACCAAGATGAAGGGGGAAGAGGAGGCGGAGGAGCAGAAAGAGGAAAAGGAGGAGGATAAGAAAAAGAATAAAAATAATTGTGTATTCTCATCAGCTATGTTTAATCACAGTGCTTCCTTCAGAACTTTCTTATTAGAACATGAAAAATTATCTAATCTAAGATCCTGAAAGACCATCTCCACAGCTTTATCTTTATAAAGGATTGGAGGTTGAATGGAAAGGGAATCTGCTTCTTGTTTATGAATTCAGAACTTATTGAGCCAGGGAAATCTACTCTCCTTTCCCCATCCAAGTTGATACAAGGTGCTGAACTTTATGAGTAGGTGGAAACCAGAAAAAAGGGCTTCGTCTTTCTGGGGCATTAATTATTCATAGAAAGTACTGCCGTAAAGAAATGCCAACACAGGGTATTCTTATTTCCCTGACCATGGACTTTTGCCATGTCAGAGGCAATTTTGGAGTGGAGAATAAGGCAATGACAGAAATTCTTGTTCATCAATCTCACGTATATGCCCAATAAAATCCCCTATTCATCTCTATAAAAATGGAGGAGGAGTTAGAAACAAACCAGGGCATTGGTTCATTAAATCTCTACTGATTCCCGTTTGAAGAACGCAATTTAACTTCAAAGGAGACCCTAAATTCGCATCTGATCCTAATTCCATTGTACAGGTTAACTCACCATGGTTTACAATATCTTCAGTACAGCTGGTGCCCTTTCTTCTTCTGCAATATCCCAAAATACTCCTAAACTCAACAGATTCAGGGAAATAATGTTTGATAGTACTGTTGGACTGTGTATAACCACCATAGGGTTTTAATGGCTGTAAATAGGATAATTATGTTTTTGACAAATGGGTATCCCTTTGAAGAAAGGAAATATAGGGCAATTATAATGATACATTGTCTCCAGGACTTGATTGACACTCCTGAAAGGGGTGCAATTCAGCTTAACATCTCTCATCACTTCCTGGCTTTATGGTTGAAGAAGCACAAGTTAGTTTTTCACAACTGTCAAGGGCTCCTGCCACATCTGACCACCATCTTCTTCCCCCATTGGGGTTTTATGCCCATAATTTCAAAAGCACCCGATTCTAACACATTATCTTCCATCTCTCTAGACAAATATGTTCCCCAAATGAGTTATTTCTTCCAATAAACGACTGAGAGTGAAAGAATGTATTCTCATTACAGTCCTCATTGGTATCATGAAAAACATGTCCTGCCATGATTTTGGTGATAAAAAGATGACTTAACCCAAACTCTCTCTTTCTTGATTTTATTTTAAACAACACACACTAACATTTTAAAATAGAATTTAAACAGGTGCCCAGTAACAGAATGACAAACGTTAAGTGTGAAATCAGAAAGTTAAAAAACTAAACCGCAGATGGTCACCTTTTTATTTTTTTTAACATCCGCCTGCGCTGGACTGTTAAGTGGCCTCATCACTGTCAAGCCAGGCAGGATTTGTAAAACTTGGGATGTGGGTATTCAAAGATGACATTTGCTTGGTGCCTTTAATGATTTCTGTAATTAGTCATTTAAACAGATTGCCCTGTGATCCAAAACAGGGAATACAGAGAGATGAGCTGAGAAAATCATTTCCTGGAGGCACTTTAGAGCTAATTGTGGAAAATGAGGCTTGTCTCTTTGCAAGACTCTCTGGATCATATTTCACTGGGTGGGGATGGAGCTGGAGAGCAACATTCTCCAGGAATCTATAAAATGTATATGCCTGGGAGGTGTTTTTCTTTTTGACACTACAGTGCTAAAAGACTTTGT